AAGCTTAACGTTTGGTAGACTTACGTGGACTCAGGTCAGATGAGAGCTTTTGGGAAAGCTGTGGTTAACTCCTGCTGTAATCTGCAGATCTTTCCCTCATGTAAACAGGACCTCAAGAGAAGAACAAACAAACAAAAAAAAAAAGCATTTTAACAAATAGTATGTATGTTTTGACTTGATGCAGAAGACTGAAGTTGGAGCCCAACATAAACCAAGATAGTTGTACTAAATGGAGTTTTGCCAACTTGAATCAGCAGATGGTGATGATCTGGCTCATATTATATTTTTGTAGTTTATAATTATCTTTCTTTCTTCACCTAGAACCATATCCTCCCTTTAGGCTGCAATTCTTAATTAGGAAATCCTTCCTCATTAATTGCAAGAAACTCTTAGTCGTTAATTTCACAGAACAAAAAGAAACCTTACCTACTTCTGCTATAGCAGCAGACGCTGGAGCTGTTTGTTCCTTTGCTTCTAGGGATGATGCTGGATATGGAAGACACTTCAGTCCTTACCCTGTCTCTTGCTGCCCTGAATTTCCTTTATACTCAGTCTTCTTTATCTCCATAGGGATCTCTGTGCACTGAAGGAGAGGGCCTAGGAAAGAACACCAAGTCCAGCCACCTTCACCCCCACAGCTGCTGTAGCAGTGAATTTTTATCCATGAAAGCTGGATCGAAGGAACAGGGCCAAACCAGAAAATTGCTCAAAAATCCCAAATTGCAGCATTTTTCAAACAGGAGCAGAATAGGAATTTTATCTTGGAGGTAAGTGCAGGAATCCACCAGTAATGTAGACTTTGAAATATCACAAAACAGCTCTTCCTGCCTTTTGTGCTTACCATCTTTTATGTGGTTGACGAGTTGTGAATAAAAAAAGGTGTCCTTAGTAAAATTCTTCTTTTCCTTCCTTCCCCACCTCCAACCAGATGATTTCTGCCCTGTCCTGACGTGGTGCACAACATCCTGTGGGAAAATTGCTTGGGGAACTGATTGTCACAGAACAGCCAAGGGTTCAGGAAGGAGCAACAGTCTCTTCCACAGCAACACTATTTCCTAGTAAAATTGTTGAATGAGGAGTTTCTGGTTTTTTTAATGTGATGCTTTAGCTCGTATTTCTTGTCACTGCACTCCCAGATGATGGATTCACAGGCCAATTGCCCCTCAGCTCCTTGACTGTGAGTGCTCAGATTGTCCTTCACACATTCCCCATCTCTCTGTGTGCAAGGATATACAGATAAGATCCCTTCCCATCTCCTGGTTTGCACTCTCTGCTTTCAAATGCTGGTAACTGTCTGTAGTTAGACAGAACAGTTGTACAAGATGTAAGGTGATGGCATCATCTTTAGTAAGCAAAGAAAACAGCTGTAAAGGTAAGGTACTAATATCTGAGAACTGAAAATATTCAACGAGTGCTTTTGCTTGTAGCCAAAGTCACAGGGTAGAGAGAAACAGTCTGGGAGGTTGTTATGGAAACAAGTCCCTGGAGGTGCCTACTTTGCTTCATGAGGATGTGCTCTGCCTTCAGAAGGAAATAGCTAGACAGACAGACAGATTTGTATTTTGAACATCCAGGAGTGAGTGCTAAGAACTGAGAACTTGAGGTAAGATTTTTGAAAGCATCTCTGTGATTTGGCGACATGAGTCCTCCGTAAAGTCAATGGCAGGGGTGCCAGTATGTCATTTCAGTCACTTGAAAAAAATCCGAAGGCTCCTTAATAAAAACATCAAATTCCAGAAGTTCTATAATATATAGTATTATTGATGACTCTGGGACTCCATTGCCTTGCTTTTCAGGCAGTGCTTAGAGAAGGATTTACATGTCCAAATGAAAGTCCCCAGGTTACAGTTTCCAAGCTTCTGTTGGCTTTTTGCATTTCTTTTAGCTCTAATACAGAAAACCCAGGGAGCAAACACCACTCCCATTTTACACATTTTCATTCGCACTTTCTTTTCAGAAGTGAAGAACGTGGATCACAAAAAACTGCACAAAGCTGCCTGTTTGCAATCAAGTTCCTTCCCAAGGGCGTTTTGTGTATGCATGTGCGCAGACGTGTCTGTGTGCAGACAACAGTCCAGCTAGAAACTCACTGCTGAATTTCACCTGAGAGCAGGAAATCTCTTTACAAGAGCATCTCTGTAAGACACATTGGGATTATGCTACCAGTAATTTGCCTCACATCTGTTTTTTTGCTGGCGCCTCCATGCCCAGCCGTCTGTCATGCTGGCCGGGAGAACAACCTGTTCTGAGCATGGAAGGCTCCTGCCTGGCAGGGGCAACAGGGTCAGGCCCAAGGGAAGAAACAAGCACGGGAATTTTCTGACGTAGGCTCAGTGTGTCTCATGCCTCCTTCTGTGCTTAACCTGAGTTTTTTATATCTTACTTCGGGGAAACTTTTATCAGCTGATACACACAGGCATAAAATAACCCCAAACATGGGCATTCTGCTAAGAGACAGCAGCAGCCTTGAAACACCCCTCTTAAATAGCAGGTTCTTGCACTAGCCTCTAGTGCATCTGCTAGAGCAACATAAAATTTGAAGAAAAGTCACTCTCTTCCACTCACAGAAAATATTTCCTTATAGCGACCCTGAAATACAACTAAGAGCAACAACAGCTTTTTACTGCATTAACTCGATGTCCAAGACAACTTTTTACACAAAAACCAACAGAGATGCCACCATGCTGATCCTTCCTCAGTCCCACTTATTCACCAGGATTACTTACCCACCAGCTGGTCACGTGCTTCAAGGGACGCAGAATAGCTCCCAAGGCCCGGACCTTCACAGACATTTGCCTCAGTCACGATGAACCAAAGAGGAATTAGGCACCTACATATTCAGGCAAACTCATGTCCGCTACAGAGCCCTCGCCACATCACACTTGTGTCTCCCAGACTGACCCGCAGTAACTGAGACAAGTGGCATTTTGCTACTGACTTCAGCAAGAGAGAGAACGGAGCTTTTAATATAATGGTTGTGCGTTGACCCCAAGGGACATTAGAAACGCCTGTACATTAAAAACCTGTGAGAAGACAATGGGACTCTGGAGAAATGCAGCAGTTAGGATTTACACAAACAACTTCTACCATACGATCAGGGCCCAGATGAGGAGAGGCCACAATAAAAGCACTCTAGGCATGGAGACAGACCTTAAGATGACCAAAAACAAGCAGGGTAATGAAGATGCAAACAGATCCCATCTCACAACCAGTTCTACAGTCAATTCTGACTATATTAAAGTATATGCCTTTAGCATTCTTAGCCTTATGGCTGAAAAGCGTAATATACACATATACATAAAATGTATTCTATATATTTTGCATCTTGATATTATGTCTGGTTTATGTATTACATGTGTCACATGCAATAGGTAGTACATTCTAATATGCATATCATACAGTATGATGCAAGGCATTAATGGCTGCCTTTGCTTTCATACACATGCACACATGTGAATGCAGAATATACGCTTAGATTTAGAACAAGACTTTTCCTTGCAAGAAAATTTGCCAATAGAATCTGAAAGCATCCATTTCCCCTTCTCACCCACTGGCAGCATCTGAAACCTTTTGAAGTTAGGTGTAAGGCAGAGATGATGATTAAAAAAATGAAATCATCTGGGAAGCAAAATGTTCATCTTAAGATGCAAATCTCTGGTCCCTTGGCAAACCCAGCACTGCAGGTCAAGCTATGCATTTTGCATTGCTAGCATAAGTTGCTCTCACAAAACCTAGTGCATGCAAAGGACGTTGCTCTGCCTTCTACCCATGAAAGACCAAGAATGGGCTAGATGAGTAATATAGCAAAAGCATCTCTTCAAGGCTAGCTTTTTCTCCCCTCATTGAAAGGTCTGGGGTATGCTGTTGGGTTTGTGCAGATGGCTTAGGGAACTTTGTATCCATGCCAAGCTCCATCTCAAATGTTGACACACTTACCCTGGGCAATTTATGCCTGTGACCCGCTAAAGCAGTGCAATCTTCAGACAGCACAGGTGCAGCTCTCTGTGGTCGGGTCAACAAAATACCAACATGCAAACTTCCCTCAGCTGTACAAACACTTCAATAAAAATGCAGTGGAGTCAATTGCTCTCACGTGCCTGAATACAGAACTGGATATCTGAAATGTAAAGTACATCTCAGTAAATGCTATTGTGTGGAGACAAACTGCAAAGATAACAAATGAATTTACTCAAATGTGCCTCACGTCAGAAGGCACTTACCACTATGAAGATTAAGTTGGTAGTATAAAGGCCAATTAACATCAGGGCACTGGCATAGATAAGGCTGAAATAAGTTCAAAACACAAAGAATCTTCACCAAGCCTGTTGATTTCTTTAAGCCTGTTTCTGATAAATGGTATACGGTCACAAGTAGCAAAGAGCTTTTAGATCTATGCACCTTTTTTGAAACATAAACCAAGAGGATCTTTAGCATGCCAAGGGCTGCAAAGAAGGCAGGCATCCGCTTGCTGACTTTCCCCTACAGCTGCAGCACTCACTGTGATGCTGGCTACAGCGTTTCCATTATTCAAAGGCAATGGCATGGCAGGCGTGACTGATCCCACAGCCAAGGGCGCTGCGCTGGCTCAGGAACTAAGGGCACAGCTTGAGCCAGATGTTTGTAGCCCCTTTAACTGTTTACTCCCTGCCGAATCCTTCAGCTGAAGTAGCGGCAAGTGCTTCTCTGCTAGTGGAGTAGAAAGGCTAGGCTTCAGAGCAAATATTGGATTAAAGCAGTCTTCAAAAACAGAGAAAGAAATTCACAAGGGAGTGGGGGATGACAGCGAGCACGCCACAGAATAAAGCAAGAACATTTCTGGCTGCACACGGTAATGAGAAACAGCAAATCAGGACAGAAGAGCCCATTATCACAATCATTCTGTTTACGGTATCACAATTCACAGTCTGGCATGTAAATGCTGAACAGATCCAGCTGCTAGTGGGAAGACGGCTGTGCAGCATCTTGCAGCTCCGTGTCTGGACCCAGGATAACAAAACTGATCACACCTCTGTCAGCATTTTCTTCTCTTTATAACTCTGGTTGTTGGGAGGAATGAAGTTGGAATATTTCATGGACTCCAGGTCTTCTGCTTCCAGGAATTCAGATTTGCTGAGAGACTGATTACTGTCCCCCTTCTTGGGCTCAGAGAAGGGTGACTGCTGCTGGCCGCAGGTGACGTGGGTGTACTGGCACTGCTCTTCGTGATCAGTCTCTCGGTGGTAGAAGTAGTTGAAGTTGGACACGATGACAGGGACAGGGAGGGCAATGGTCAGCACACCTGCAATGGCACACAAGGAGCCCACAATCTTGCCACCAATTGTCATAGGATACATGTCCCCGTAGCCCACAGTGGTCATGGACACCACTGCCCACCAAAAAGCATCAGGGATGCTGGTGAACAAGGAGTCGGGGTCATCAGTCTCTGCAAAGTAGACAGCACTGGAGAAGAGGATCACCCCGATAAAGAGGAAGAAGATGAGGAGGCCCAGCTCCCTCATGCTGGCCTGAAGAGTCTTCCCCAAGATCTGCAGCCCTTTGGAGTGCCTGGAGAGCTTGAAGATCCTGAAGACTCTGACCAGGCGGATAACTCTGAGGATGGCCAGGGACATGGCTTGCTGCTGGCCCCCGTTGTTCCTGCTCCTGCCGGGCTGCTGCTTCTGCTGCTGCTGCTGAGCCAGCTCGGTGCCCAGGGTGATGAAGTAGGGGATGATGGCCACAATGTCGATGATGTTCATGATGTTGCGGGAGAACTCGGGCTTGCTGGGGCAGGCGAAGAAGCGGACGAGGAGCTCAAAGGAGAACCAGATGATGCACAGGGTCTCGATGAGAAAGAAGGGGTCGGTGAAGAAGGGGCCAGCGCCGGCGGCGGGGCGCAGGGGAGGCGGAGTCCCACTCGGCAGTGGTGGCGGCAGCAGCAGGGCCTCGTCGCCGGGTGGCGACGCCTCCCCAAAGCCAGGCTGGGCGCCCTTGGGCTCCTGGCGAAACTCGGGCAGGGTCTCCAGGCAGAAGATGACGATGGAGATTAGGATGACCAGCACGGAGACGATGGCGATGGCCCGGGCCGGCCCGGAGCTCTCGGGGTACTCAAAGAGCAGCCAGACCTGGCGCTGGAAGTGGTGCTGGGGCAGGGGCTTCTCCTCCTCCTGAATGAAGCCCTCGTCCTCCCGGAAGGTCTCGATGGCCTCTTGGCCCAGCTGGTAGAAGCGGATCTCCTCCAGGAAGATGTCGAGGGGCACATGGACCGGCCGGGGCGGCG